AGTTAGACACAGACAAACAGACCGACAGACAGACCGACAGACAGACAGACAGACAGAAAGACAGACAGACAGACAGACAGACAGACAGACAGACAGACAGACGGACAGACTGACCTGCAGAGCGTGTATGGCCACCTGGCGGGCATGCTTGTTGCCCATACTGAGACCTCTCTTGAGATCCCTCGTAATCGAGGCCACCACGTCTTGAATGCCAACATCGTTGTCTGAAACAAAACAAAGCAAAATTACTTTTAGTCACGCAGATCATTCATTTTAATATGGCAACTACTGAGTTGAACGCTTTTAAGGACAAGCGGGCTAACCCAGAGTTCGGGGGTTTCCAGAAATCTTGGATTACACCAAAAGTGGGCATTACCCTACCTACAGAAGAAGTTTGGCTTCAACGGCGAGTATATTTGGTTATAGAGAAAGCGCTCCATGTCTTTAAAAAAACAACTGAACAAGGGGCAAAAACTTTACATTCGATTTTCTCAAAACAACATTTAAAAGCGACCAAAATGTTGTTCAGAGGCAAGAACACGGCGAGAAGGGCATTAGGATAGCGATTGCACCAAATTATTTAATGAAACCATCAACAAAATTTGGATTAGTTAAAACGTGAGCTAATTCAGCGCTGCAGCTGACACGGCTAATACAAGACTGAGACAAAAACAGTATCACGTCATAAATGTCGAAATATTGAAGAAAAAAAACACGCTTTCCAATTCCGAAATCCAGCTAATAACATGGTTTTTTTAAATTTTTATTTCAAAGCACAACGCAGAGCCTAACAAATACACCTCACTCAGAGTGCACATTAGGACAAAAACGACAAAGAAGAAATAAAAGTCACTAACACCAATAGACCACCCGTACGACCATAAAAAAAACGTCATAACAGCAAAACGAAGTACGTCTGCACATAAAACGTACTGAAATAAAAGTTAAATGAAGCAGAAGAAAAATGGAGGAAACCATGAAGCACCTGAGGCGTACGCTTATATCCAACTCGCCGAATCACCCTGACCGATTCTGGAATTCCGGTTGGTCAGAACACATTGTCTTATCAGCCGAAAAATTACAACAACAAAAAAGTATGTGTCAAATCTCAACAAAATTTTAAAAAATATCATTCGGAAATCGGCCTGAACGACACGTACTACTTACTACTACACATACTTTGTAATAATTCTGGGGTCCCATCAATGAATATTAGGAAGGTCGGTAGGTAGGTAGATAGGTAGGTGGGTAGGTAGGTAGGTAGGTAGATATGTGGGTAAATAGGTCAGTTGGTATGCAGACAATAAAAACTAGATACACAGACAAACAGACGCACAGACAGAATTATAGAAGAAAGAGGTAGTGTTATGTAGCGCTTCGATTCCCTTCACGGGTTGTCGCACCGGCTGGGAAGGCGATTAATTAGCACATGGGAGCGACCAGGAGAAAGGGAAAAGGTTACGATCACTGCTGTAAAATGAGACCGTTGACTGCGAAATAAGCACCCCACAATATCCTGGTTCAGCTTACCCTGCCAATAGACGCAGTTCTTTACTCCTCGAAAAGGGAGTAGTAGCTAATAAATACCGGTAGGAGAGTAATTTTGTACGCCTGGATGTGTGACAGATGAAGGCGTCGACTGAATGCCGTATAGTGCAACCTTAGAATTATTTTTTTTAAAGCATGTTGGCTTGACTTTTCAAAACTGCATCATTTTTTTATTTTTTTTTACAGAAAATGTCTGTTTGAGAGACTGTTACGTTCCGTTTGAGTTATGAGAAGCTGAAGCACATCGGCACTTTGAAGGTCATTGTAATGTTTGACAAGAGCGCTAAACGGACAGGCAAAAAAGACTGACGAGTAGAAAAGGCAGGAGCTACTAGTGACACCCTCCCCAAAATGTGTGTGTGTGTGTGTGTGTGTGTGTGTGTGTGTGTGTGTGTGTGTGAGTGTGTGTGTGTGTGTGTGTGTGTGTGTGTGTGTATGTGTGTGTCTCACACTGTTATCTTACATCTGAACTAATAAAGGGAGAGAGAGACAGAGAGAGAGAAACAGAGAGAGAATGAGAGAGAGAGAGAGAGAGAGAGAG